CCTGATCCATGCTGAAGGAAGTTAGCATGAATAGCACTCTGCACTGCTTTTCCCCTTTCTCATTTGCTATGGAGCAGTCAGTTTCTCTGGGCTCATGGCCTCAGCTTTTATCCCATGATCTAAACATTAGTCTTTACTGTCTGGAGGAAAGAAATTTATTTGAAAATTAGATAGCTACAGCTCTTACTTAAATTGAGCTCTATCTTTTCTCACATTCCAAAAAACACACATGTTCAATATAGACTCCTTTAAAGGAAAAGAATACTTCCAGTTTTCAAGTTAGTCAACAGAAGACACATTTGACTGTGGCTTGGCACCTTTGCTTTTTATGTATTTGCAAACACATAAAAACTGGCAAAGGTGTGTGATCTGCATGTGTATCTATGTGCAAATGCACACTCGTGCATGCAGAGGACCAAGGTCAGAGTCAAGCATCTTCCTAGCTTGCTCCCCACATGATTTACACTGGCAGGGTCTCCATGAACCTCAGCTCAGCAACTGAGCTAATCTAGGTCTCCCTAAGGATTCGCAGTCTCTGCCTCCTGAATAAGAGATTCTGACTACAGGTGAGCTGATACCTGCTAAACTTTATGCTGAGGGTCCCAACTCAGATCCTCAGACTCATGTGGCAAGAGCTTTATCCTTCGGGCCCTCTCCTCATTACCAATCTGCATTTTGACTTTCAAAACATCCCCTGATCACGTTCTCTTTACTCGATTAACTTAAATGAGCTCAATGTTATTCTTTTTATTAATTAATTAATTATTTATTTATTAAAGATATCTGCATCCTCCCCGCCAACGCCTCCATTTCCAGCCCCTCCCCCAATCATTACCCCTCCCTCATCAGCCCAAAGAGCAATCAGATTTCCCTGCCCTGTGCGAAGTCCAAGGACCTCCCACCTCCATCCAGGTCTAGGAAGGTGAGCATCCAACCTGCCTAGGCTCCCACAAAGCCAGTAAGTGCAGTAGGATAAAAAACCCATTACCATTTCTTTTTGTTTATTTGTAACAAAATTAACCCTTTAAAGCTGTCTGCCCCATACATCTCATAACACTGACATGACTATTTTGGCATTGTTTTTAGATAATCTAAACACAGCATGAGGGAACATGAAGGTTCAACTTTGCTGCTGTCTACATAGGCTTTCCACAATCTTACAAAGGTGAAGGGCCAACCATGTGCTCTTGTGAGTGTTGTTCCACATGACTCTTGGATAAATTAAACACAGGTTCGTTATGAAACACTAATTTCTCTCTGGTCTCACTTAATCCACACTTATAACTAAGTGTTTCTTTGTTGAAACTGAGCCCTGTTTTTCCCCTACTGCTTGCTACATCAATGAGAATGTCCCCAAGGTCACTTAGAGTCCTACTACAACAGTACACATAAGTACCCTGAAATGACCTGAGTGTCCGGACTTCAGTATTAATCACTTTACACTTACCAGTAAACATTAACGTTTTCCTAAATGCATGACCTTATAATACACAATGCTGTCTATATATATGATGGTCCCATACTGATTATGTGTAGTCTGCGAATCTCAAATGGCTGAAAGACACTTGAGGAAATGTTCAACATTCTTATTCATCAGAGAAATGCAAGTCAAAACAACTCTAAGATTCCATCATACACCTGTAAGAATGGCCATGATCAGAACACTGATGACAATTTATGCTTGGGAGGATGTGGGGTAAGAGAAACACTTCTGCATTGCTGGTGGGAGTGTAAACAGCTGCTTTGAAAATAAGCTTGGTGATTTCCCAGAAAATTAGGAAACCTCCAGACCCAGCAATACCACTGTTGGTTATATACCCCAAAACACTCAATCATGCCACAAGAACATCAGCTCAAATATGTTCACAGCAGCATTATTCATAAGAGCCAGAACCTGGAAACAACCTAGATGGCCATCAGTCAAAGAATGGATGAATAAAATGGACATTTGTACCATCCCTGACTTCAAACTCTATTACAGAGCTTCAGTATTGAAAACAGCTTGGTATTGGCATAAAAACAGAGAAGTCCACCAATGGAATCGAATAGAAGACCCGGACTTTAACCCACAAACCTATGGACACCTGATTTTCGATAAAGGAGCTAAAAGTATACAATGGAAAAAAGAGAGTATCTTCAACAAATTGTGCTGGCAAAACTGGATGTCAATCTGTAGAAGAATGAAAATAGATCCATATCTATCATCATGCACAAAACACAAGTCCAAATGGATTAAAGACCTCAATATCAATTTGAACACACTGAACCTGATAGAAGAGAAAGTGGGAAGAATTCTACAACACATGGGCACAGGAGACCACTTCCTACGTACAACCCCAGCAGCACAGACATTAAGGGGATCATTGAATAAATGGGAACTCCTGAGACTGAGAAGCTTCTGTAAAGCAAAGAACACTGTCACTAAGACAAAAAGTCTCCATTGACTGGGAGAAGATCTTCACCAACCCCGCAACTGACAAAGGTCTAATCTCAAAAATATATAAAGAACTCAAGAAACTAGACCGTAAAAGGCTAATCAACCCAATTATGAAATGGGACACTGAGCTGAACAGAGAATTCTCAACAGAAGAAGTTCAAATGGCCAAAAAGACACTTAAGGTCATGCTCAACTTCCTTAGCGAGCAGGGAAATGCAAATCAAGACATCATTAAGATACCATCTTACACCTGTCAGAATGGCTAAAATAAAAAAACACCAATGATAGCCTTTGCTGGCGAGGTTATGGAGAAAGGGGTACACTCACCCTTTGCTGGTGGGAATGCAAACTTTTGCAACCACTCTGGAAAGCAGTGTGACGGTTTCTCAGGAAATTCAGGATCAACCTCCCCTGGACCCAGCATACCACTCTTGGGAATATACCCAAGAGATTCCCTATCATACAACAAAAGTATATGCTCTACTATGTTCATAGCAGCATTGTTTGTAATAGCCAGAACATGGAAAAAACCTAGATGCCCTTCAATGGAAGAATGGATGAAGAAAGTATGGAATATATACATATTAGAGTACTACTCAGCAGTAAAAAACAAGGACCTCTTGAATTTTGCATGCAAATGGACGGAAATGGAAAACACTATTGCTGAGTGAGGTAATCCAGACCCAAAAAGAGGAACATGGGATGTACTCACTCATATTTGTTTTCTAGTCATAAATAAAGGACATTGAGCCTATAATTTGCAATCCTAGAGAAGCTAAATAAGAAGGTGAACCCAAAGAAAAACATATAGGCATCCTCCTGAATATTAACCTTCATCAGGCAATGAAAGGAGACAGAGACAGAGACCAACATTGGAGCACCGGACTGAAATCTCAAGGTCCAAATTCAGTGCAGAAGAAGAGAGAGCTCGAGCAAGGAACTCAGGACCGCGAGGGGTGCACCCACACACTGAGATAATGGGGATGTTCTATCAGGAAATCACCAAGGCCAGGTGGCCTGGTCCTGAAGTAGCATGAGAAAAAACCGGACTCGCTGAATATAGTGGACATTGAGGACTACTGAGAACTCAAGAACTGTGGCAATGGGTTTTTGATCCTACTGCACGTACTGGCTATGTGGGAGCCTAGGCAGCTTGAATGCTCACATTACTAGACCGGGATGGAGGTGGGTGGTCCTTGGACTTCCTGCAGGGCAGGGAACCCTGATTGCTCTTGGGCTGACGAGGGAGGGGGAATTAAGTGGGGGAGAGTCTGGATGTCAGGCTTCTTTCCTCAATGACCTCAAGATTGATAGCTGAGGTGATAGACATGGCTGCATAGACAGGACTGTGAGGGAGATCAGGGGGAGCAGGACACATCCTGAGAGAGAGAGAGGAAGCTGAGAATGTTCAGGAGTAGGGTGGAGAAAGGGCTGCACCCTCATGGAATGAAGGGAGGTAAGGAAAATGTCAGGAGGCTGGGGGACACAAATATCAAGACTCAGAAGTGTGATGTCAGAAGCATGAAATGAGCCAAAGAGTGGGGAATAAGGTCTGAGCACAGCCCTTGCTCAGGCCATGAGCTTGGTGCTTATCCCACAAATATAAGGACTAGGAACATTAGGAATGTTAGGGAAATATTCTCCCAGCTCTGGAATCACAAGCTGAAAGCAGGAAGTCCCAGGGCTTCTGGAGTGACCCCAGGTTACCTGTGCTCCTGGCTGCTTCCTCTTTCCATTATCTTCCACTGCTATAGCTACTATGGCAGGGCTCTCTGTTCCTGACAAGGCTTACACTCATGGTCTCTCCGGTCATCCACGAACAGTTCATCATACAGAAAATGAACACATTGCCGGGCAGTGGTGGTACATGCATTTAATCCCAACACTCAGGAGACAGAGACAGGCAGATCTCTGCGAGTTCGAGGACAGTCAGGTCTACAAAACCTAGTTCCATGACAGGAACCAAAAGATACATAGAAAGCTTGTCTCAAAAATCCATAAAAAAGAAAAAGAAAATGAACACAATACACACACATAGGTACACAAACACACACACACACACACACACACACACACACACACACTCGCCCTGGGAGGTATTAGAGCCCTGGGTGCCAGAGTGGGTGATGGGAAACCAAAAGTTGCAGATTTAGAACAGGAGAAGAACACTGAGCTATCCCCAGAGGTATGTAATATCTGGGAGTTAATTGGGACACCTGCCATCATCCTGGCTCTGACCACAAAGCACCTCCATGTCCTCTTTCATGCTCAGATGGACATCCATGCGTCAGCTCTCACTTAACTGTGCAGACTCCATGGCCTGAATGTGGTGAACACAGCATTTGTCCCCGCAAAGTATGTCCTTTGGTCCTTAGCCATTGTCATGTGGGTTTAGGGGTTTTTTCCTTCTAAGGAGCTGCCCTTCTTGACAAGTCTGTTTCTGGTGTCAGCATCTCTGCTACAGGTTCCAAATATATTTACTATCACTAGATGAAGGGACTGCCTTTCCGTGACGAGGAATTGATGCTTCCATGGGCGAGAAGAAAGCCTTTGTGAACTAACAATGCCGTTCATGAAGAAGGATGGGGGATCTGGTCGCTGGTCATTGCAACTGTATGAGGAATTTAATTGTAATTCTAATTTTCATATATAAACTCAAGTCTAATATTTTATACTTCTATAAGGAACAGTCAACAATGTTGTGCATGGTATCACATACCTATAATCCCAGCATTAAGAAAGCAAATGCAACAATACCACCACATATTTGAGGCTCTGCTGGTCGATGTAGGAAATTCCAGGTCAGAAAGGAATCCATAATGAGATCTTTTCTCAAACAAACAAACAAACAGAATTTAAAAATCCTTGTGTAATATAAATCAATACAATACAGATCAACTACAGTCTTGACTGCTGTGCCGCCTAGTTTTATGTCAGCTTGACACAAGCTAGAGTCATTTTGGAAAAGGAAACTTGAACTGAGAGAGTACCCTCACCAGATTTGCCTATAGTACATTATCTTTCCTTTTTAATGAAATAAAATAAAATATGCTAAAAAGTTTTATCACATCGAAGTTGGACAAGGCAAACTAACAGAAGGAAAAGAGCCCAGGAGTCAGATACCATTTGTTCTCACACTCAGGAGTCCCATAAAAACACTAAACTGAAAGCTATAGTTTATATGTAGAGGACTAGCAGAGACACTGTAGGCCATGAGCTTGCTGTCGCAGTCTCTGAGAGTTCCTATGAGCTGTGCTCAGTCCACTTAGAGGGACTTGTTATCCTGGTGTCCTCCATCCCCTCTGGCTCTCACACCCCTCCTACCTCCTCTTCCATGGGGTTCCCTGAGATCTGAAGGGAGGGATTTGGTGGAGACATCCCATTAGTGCTGAGTATGAGGGACAATGAATTGGTAAAGTCACTTTCATTGGGCTATTTACAGTACTACAGAAGTCAGCAGCTTCCATGCTGACGAGAGCTCTGAAAGTATTATCCTAGTGCTGAGACTGTCATTCAGGTAAGGTACTCTGATTGGGAGCGATGTCTGCCACTCTGCAGTGCACGTGTGGACCTCAGCATGGTGCTTCATGCATCCACCAATACCCACACTGCATGAGCTCTGTGTCCCACAGCATATGACCTGATCTGTGTTCCATTAGGGCACTTCCGGTTGTAGGCTGACTCCCAAAGCTCAGGTGTTACCTGAGCAGGGCTCCTCCAATGGAACTAGCTGACTTTCAACTCTTCCTCTGTCTTGTCCTTCTATCTAGCTGCTCTAGGTGTGTGCACTGCCAGTAACTCTGCCAGGAAGTCATCTCTTTGACACACTTGGTACAGTTGCTTTTGTGGCCTACTACATGTTTTATTATATACATAAAAATGATGACGTGAAACTCCGTTGCAAATATTAAGTGCCTCTCCTGAGCACAAGCCAAAGAGAAACATCATAAGGTGTAATAAGATGCAGCAACAGGGCTGAATCCATAGGCCCATCCTCCACCACTGTTGAATGGAAGGAGGTGCAAGGAAGAAAAGGTCCAAGCCAGAAAGCGGAAGCTAATATAAAATCTATCTAGGTGATGAGTTACTAGGCTTTGGGGAAGACATCAAGAGGTTTGAGGATGTGCTTCCCAGGGGAAGGAAACTGTAGTTGCTGGTACACTGGTTTGTGAAGCTGAAGTAAAAGGATGCCAAAATTCTGCAAGTAATTCATGAACCCGGACGGTATCCCGATCCTGTGCCATTGATGTTATCCCCATTCATGGTTTTGGAAGCTGTGAATGAAGCATTTCATTCAGGGTCCCAAGATATGTAGAGCTCAGGCTTTGGGATTTAGCTTCCTATTAGACAAAGCTGGCACTGCCCATCCCATTTTCTTTTTCTTATGCTGCTTCTTTCTTTGCCATCTACTCTCTTCTTCCTCTCAACTTATAATCCAGAGGTCTCCTAGAAAGTGCTTGGTAGTCAGTGAGAGGGGGAAACTGTTCTGTGGCCCAAGTATAAATGTCAAGTATCATCCCATGTTTCCATGTCATCAGAAAGACCCCAGCTTCCTGCACTGGCATACTGCAGACTCAGGGTCCCTGTCTCTTCATCTACTCTGCCAAATCCACAGTCAAGTAATCAACTTGTATAAACACACAGAATAAGTCATGTGACTCCTTTTCAGGAAAATATTCGGTGCCTGAGTTAACCAAGGTGGGAAATAGGGAAGGGCCACTACCCTTCTTCTTGACAGACACCCCGGATGCCGTGTAGCTAGAGTTCCAGGTGGTTGTGAGCTTTCTTATGTTAGCTCTGGGATGCTAACTCTGGTCTTCTACTAGAGCAGCAAGGGCTCTTGATCACTGAACCATCTCTCTATCTAGTCCCCCATTGTGTGTTTTTAGCAAAATTTTGGTGTAGTCAATTAAAGACTACCATCGTTACACTTAGTCAAAAGAAACCTCTCTCAAAAATCTAATGATTTACAGAGATTAATTAGAGAAAAAAATCAAACGATTCAAAGACATTTGCAGCCAGGCACTAGACTGAGCTCTGGGAGTCCTCCTGAGTAATGGAGAAGGGATTTTATGAGCCAGGTGGGTCAAGGTCATGACGGAGAAACCAAAGGCACAGCTGATCTAAGCTTGTGGGACCACATTGGTTCTGGACCAACAGTTAGGGAGCTTGCATGGACCCGACCTAGGCCCTCTGCATGTGTGGGAAAATTGTGTAGCTTGCTCTGTTTGTAAGGTTCCTAGCTATGAGATCAGGACCTGTCCCTGGTGCTTACTTAGCTCCTTCTTGCAAACAAGCACCTGGAAGTCCTGTTTGAGGGCCCTGGAGAACTGGGGAGCATGCAGGGACCTGCGCATTGACGCATTGACGTCACCCTTTCCTTCTGTCCTCTCATTGTTTGGTCGGTAGCCCTGCCGAGATTCTAGACCTCCAGGTCAGTCATTCCCAGGGCCCAAGTGCTGTTTGAGGTCCACAGTTGCAGTTATGGCCAAGGGTATTGAACGTACATGTTATACTCCATAAGATTATGAGGAGGAAATAGTTTTTGAGAAAGGATTTGTGGCCTCCACCTCAGCAGTGGCAATGGAGGCAGATTGTGGCCATAGTGGAGGCCACATAGGCCACCTAAATTTCAGAATCAATGAGAGTAATCAGGGCCAGGATAGCGAGAGGTACAGTAAGGAAAGTGATGCTAACGTGGGAGAAAGCAGTAGCCACCCGGATTCTTCTTTGGAGCTAGACTCAAAAGAACTGAACACCTCAGAGGCTGGTGTGGCAAGGATTCGTCAGAGGCACCAGGGTCATCAAAACCACTTCCGTTTCACACCGGGTCAGATCAGGGAAATGGAAAGATTCTTTCAAATATCCCAGTACCCAAATTTGGCTGCCAGGTATGTGGTTTGGCCCAAGAGCTCCCCAACATCCCTGGCCTCTGGCTCATGTTGAGGTGCCCTTTTGTTCTTCGAGGCCCTGTATTCCTTATCGTCCCTCTCCAAGTCACAGGGGTCTTCTCCTTTGGTGGTGGGCACAGGAGGATGCCCCGTGTGGGGCCCGAGCTCAGTACCAACATGTAGTGCTGACATGAATCAAATGTCCATAGTCAACACGTCTCATTCAGAGTCATATTTTAATTTCTGTGAAATATAGATATTTGTGGGCCCAAACGACTTACCAGCATCAAGTTCAAGAGTACTAGGGGTTTCTAGTTTGTTGGGTGACCTCCTTACCAGTAGTCTACTCATCTTTTCAGGGACTGTGTACCTAGCCATAAACTCCTTTTGGTTTCTCTTTCCCCCAGCCTAGTGCTGTCTTTTTGTTCTGTTTTTTGTTTTGTTTAGTTTTTTTTTATGTTGGGGGGGTGTTTCAAGACATGTTTTTTCTGTAGATTTTGGAGCCTATCTTGGAACTACGTTCTGTAGACCAGTCTGGTCTCAAACTCATAGAGATCTGCTGCCTCTGCATCCCAAGTCCTGGGATTAAAGGCATGGGCCACCACCACCTGGCCCCTGGTACTGTTTTCAAATTAGCATACTTTGCTCAGCAGAGACATTGACATTTATTATTATTTTTGATACTTTGTTAAAATTATTTGTCTCTATCATTTAGAAACTTTTGCAGGACATGAATTCATTTCAAAAGTGAGACTGCCTCTGAGAATAAATGTTAATGCCAAGTGTGAGGGAGGACGGTGATATTTTAAAAGGCATAGAATTCATGTATGTCATTGTATTGCATGTAAAACCCTGCATGATAAACATCCATGGTTGTCTTTACACAGGAAAGAACTTGCAAGAACTTTGAAAGTGCCTGAAGCAAAACTGAAGGTCAGTGAATCCAAACAAAGCAATTGGACAGACAATCTATAGCCTTCCTTAGGCATTAGCTAGCCTTGTCCTAGGCACTTTTCAATGAATCTGTGTAACCCTTGCTGTCCTTGAACTCATGGTTCTTTTGCCTCCACCTCCACCCCCCAAGTGCTGAGTTTACAGCACTTGACACACTGAACTTTAAATCGATTTTAAACTTAATTGAAACAGCACTACATAAAAGGGACATCATCTCTAGGTGGACAACATTCACAGCACATGGTTTTCATTGTGATGCAATTTTGGACCCCCAGCTGGCCACACACTTAGCCTCCTATGGAAATACTCCTTGCCCCTTTAACTCTTTAATTGTCCCCGTCTTTCTATTTTGTGTCTTGAATATCATGGTTAAAAGTGCTACACTGCATAAAGAAAAAAATGATCCTAACTTGAGACGATGGTATTAATAGTGACAACCCTTAATGTTAATTTTTCTGGGATTCTGTGTGTGGCTAGCCAAACACATTGCCAAATAGTTATATTAGGGTTGAGAGGAGGCATGGACTGATAGGTATGGAAGAATAACACTTAAAATACAGAGATTAATATTGTGCAGGGCAGGATTCTGGAAATCTCGCTGAAGCAGAGATAGTATTCTCCATCCTGATGCTGGAGAACTTTGTGTAACATGAAAGAATATGCTGGTCAAAAAAAAAAAAAAAGAATATGCTGGTCAGATTTACCATGGGTGGAAGTCCCCACTGAAGTGTATATACTGCGGGAAAAAGACAAAATCATAGCCCTGTTTGCAGAGGTTGACACACAGCCGGGGCTTGCTTTTGTGAGCTGAGTAGAAAGTTCCATGTTAGATGCCTTAAAGTGACTTCTCTCTCTCGGCTCTGGGGGTGGAAGCCAATGCTAAAACAATCTTGTCTCCCTCTGATTTTAGGAGTGGTTCGCCAAACGGAGAGTGAAAGACAGGAAGGAAAAACGCGTACTGATAGAGACAACACCTCCTATTGAAGACATCATCATGCTGTGGGACACTGAGGAAGATTCTTCCTAGAATGGCATCATCCTTCATTCAGGAGCCAAATGGCTAATAGGTGACCCATGTGCCCATTGCCAAGATTAAATAAATTGAACACTCATGTTAACAATAAACACATAACCTCCACATGCTTTCTGGTATTTTGTAGGATAGGATGTACACATTTCAGGAAATTCTATTTAAACAGAATGACAAAGTCTAGTTACATAGATTAGCATTTTAAGTCATGAGTGTTGCTTGCATAGATGAATATTTCCAATACATGGTGACTGGAAAACAGTGGGTCACATGAGCCTACTTGATTCAGGCTTAGTAGATCCTCTGAGCAAGTGATTCAGAAGGAATCCTGCAAACAAGAAATTTAAGGAGAAGTTGGCACAGATGATATTGGTGGTGATGAAAATTTTTATTTGGGGGATTTTACCAATACATTTTATTCTAAAAAAGAAATTGGATTTTTTTGTCATACCTGATTATGGTTTCCCTTCCTCCTACTTCTTCCAGGTCTTCCCCACATATTCTCCCATTTGGATACATTCCCCTTTCTGCCCCTCAGCTCAGGTAGGTGGAAGCTGCCCCCAGGCCTTCCTGGACCTGCTGAAGACATTCATGGGCAGGAGAGGGTCACTGCGATGAGCAAATGTGTGGTCAGGAAATTGGAAGGAACGAATCAGAACGGTTCATGTGCTGTAGAAAGAGGCAGAACGGAAGGAGCGAAGGGGGTGAGGAGCAGGCTGCTGTGGGCAACCTGCTAACCACCCGTGTTCGAGGTGGTACCCAGACCCAGCCATTGTGCCATTGTGATATCGGGGACTGAGATGCTGCTGTAGGCCATCTCTGTGAGAGTGACCAGGCTCTCTGTGTTGATGTCCATGGCTCCTGCTTTCACTGAAGGCCATGCATATGCCTGGCATCTGGGCTACCACCTAGGAATGTGTTGGTGTCCCTGGGTCATGCTGCTGATGGAACCATACCAATCTGATTACCTGTGCTACTACCTAGGTTCTTGGTGGTGTCCATGTGTTCCTGCTGCCGAGGACCATTCTAGGTCCATGTCAGAACTGCAGCCAGGGTCTGTGTTGAGGTCCATGTCCTGTGTTGTCACCAAAGGCCACAGGGATGCTCAGGGCCTGGGCTACAATCTGGGACCTTGTTGGTATGCAAGCTTCCAGAGCCATTATGATCTGAGTAACCTGTGCTGCCACCCAGAATGATGGAGGAAGGTCATTGGCCAATAAAAAAACTGCTTGGCCCTGTGGGTGGAGTAAACAGAACAAAATGCTGGGAGGAAGAGGATGTGAGGTCAGAGACTTGACATCTCTCCTCTTGGGAGCAGACGCCTGAGAGAGACTCCATGCCCCACTCCCGGGATGAAGCTCCGACCCAGGATGGACTAGGCTAGAATCTTCCCAGTAAGACCGGTTGTCACAGATTATTAGAGATGGGTTGATTGGGATGTGAAAATTAGCCTGTAAGTGCTAGAGCTAAAGGGCCAAGCAGTGCTTAAAAGAATACAATGTCTGTGTAATTATTTTGGGGCATAAGCTAGCCGAGTAGGCGGCCGGGGTGCTGGGAACGCAGCCCCGCCGCCCCCATTACTACACCAGGGCCTTGGTGTCATACAGGTCCAAGTATCTGCTTAGTGCCATGTGTATGTCTGTGTCCCTATGGCAGGCAGGGTCTGAGTTGATATCCATGGCTCCTGTTACCACCAAGGGCCATGAAGTTGCCTGGGGTCTGGTCTGCCACCTGAGGTCAAGACGGTTTCCCAGGGTGAAGCTGCTACCAGTGACTGATCTGAGTGACATGTGTCACCACCTGGGGCTCTGGTGATGTCCAGGACTAAGCTGCAGGCTAGGGCTATCTGTGGGTCCGTGGTCCTACAGCAGCCAGGCTCTGTTGCCACCAAGGGTCATGCTGATGCCTAGGGTCTGGTTAGCTACCTCAAGCCATGTTGGCATCTGAGCACCATACTGCTGCTGGGGCCATACTGATCTGGGTGACCTGAGCTTCCACAGGAGCCATGGTGACATCTGAGCCAGAGACGATGCAGAAGGCCATGTCTGGATCCGTTGTTTTAACGAATCTGGGCTCTGTCATGATGTCTTTGGTTTATGATACCATAGAAGTTCATGCCTGAAGAAAGCCAAGGGCCACGCTGAGCCAGGCCTGCCCTTCACTAGTCCTGGTAAATTTGATCCTGAAACTTGCTGTGGCAAGAGAGCTGACACTGACACTCACAGGCGAGCTGGTCCCAGTGGCCCAGCTCAGGAGAGATGGCTCCACCCCTCAACACAGGCATGCAACAGCTGACCCTGATGGAATGGGTGTAGGAGAGCTGGCTCCAAGGATCACCTGAGGGGGCAGCTCCAGGTTCCAGGACCAACCAGGTCGCCTACCACCTTGGACCAAATCAGGGCTTTGAGTTGCCCACCCTAGCATCTTCCCATCTAGGACCTGCTGGCACTTGGTAAGGGACTGGTTCTGAAGGATCTCCACGACCTGGGGCAGCCGTGGGATATTGCAGAGGAGATTCAGTGAGGGTCCAGATACCAGAGACCTTTAATCAGACCAATAACTAATCACAATGAACGTTTTTGGGTGGGTCTGATTGGACAAAAAGTTTTCCTGCATGACACACCAGGGCTCCCAAGGCCACTAAAATAATTGGAGTGGCAGGAAAGTCAGAGGAGTGATGTTGGGTTTCTGGTTTGTTTGTTTGGTTCATTGGTTGGTTTGGTACTTTTTTTTTTGATTTTCTTTTCCGGTAGGACACCACACAGGTAAAGGGAGGATATAGAGCAACTTGGAAATGAGCAGAATTGGGATGCATGTCGTGAAATTCCCAAAGAATCAATAAAGTACTGCATATATTACATATTATATGTATAATGTATACAAACATACAGGCGTCTAAGGAGTAATAATAAAAGAAAATATAATGAATTAAATAGAAGCTACCATGTTAAAATTGATCAAAATGTTGTGGGTCTGGGATCACTCAGAGATTCACCGTGACCATGAATAAATTTTTTTTTGGATTTTTTTTCTTTTTTTATTGAGAAAAGGAGAGAAACAAAAAACAACAAGTTTCCACCTCCTCCCAGCCTCCCATTTCCCTCCCCCTCCTCCCACCCTTCTCCCCCTCCCCCACTCCTTTCCCCCTCCCTCTCCAGTCCAAAGAGCAGTCAGGGATTTCTGCCCTGTGGTAAGACCTAGGACCTCCCACCTCCGTCCATATCTAGGAAGGTGAACATCCAAACTGGCTGGGCTCCCACAAAGCCATCACATTACGTAGGATCAAACCCCCCGTGCCATTGTCCTTTGCGTCTCATCAGCCCTCATTGTTCGCCATGTTCAGAGAGTCCAGTTTTATCCCATGCTTTTTTCAGTCACAGTCCAGCTGGTCTTGGTGAGCTCTCAATAGATCAGCTCCACTGTCTTAGTGGGTGGGTGCATCCCTCGTGGTCCCTACTTCTTTGCTCATGTTCTCCCTACTTCTGCTCCTCATTGGGACCTTGGGAGCTCAGTCGTTATTCGCAGATGATATGATAGTGTACTTAAGCGACCCCCAAAACTCCACCAAAGAACTTTTACAGCTGATAAACAGCTTTAGTAATGTGGCAGGATACAAGATCAACTCCAAAAAATCAGTCGCCCTCTTATACACAAAGGATAGGGAAGCAGAGAGGGAAATCAGAGAAGCTTCACCATGAATAAATTTTAATAAGAAAAGGGTTTATCAAATAAATACTAGTGCTGTATGCTCATGACCCCAGGACTACAACTGAGAGCCCCTTGTAGTCCCTGGACAGAGTATCCAAGGCTTATAGAGTCAAACCACAAAGTTACAATGTATTCTACTGTATGTAGGCGGGGTCTAATTGTAACTGTATGTCTTGCAGTTGCAGAATCTTAGAGAGTTAAATTAAACCAATAGCTCAGTTTCTTGACTGTTCTGCTTTGCCTTCCTTCCCCTGTCATAAAATCAGGTGGATCACCTAACACCTGATGGAGAGGAATGTTTGTTCGTTTTCTAAGCATGCTTAGGTGTAGAGCCATAAGCCAACTCCAGATCCGGCTCATCCGTAAAGTAGACCAGCATAAAACAATATTCCAGTATTATGAATATCTTAACAATATTCAGATCCCTGTAAAATGGAATCCAGTACCCAGGGAGAAATCTGGTTATCAAATATCAAAGCAGCCAGGGCAGGCAGGTGGGACAGCATCCGCTGTGGCAGTAGCCTCAGTGATAGTCCTCCCTTGCTGGATCCGCCCTTCATCTCCCCCATCACCAGGTAGGCCCTGGGTTCCCCCAAAGTGCCTCACTTCTGCAGGCACCTAGTGGTCAATCTACAACTCTGTGGACCACTGGTTTTCTAATTTGATTTCCCTACATGCAGACATCCAATTTGACCAACACCATTTGTTGAAGAGGCTATCTTTTATCCAGACTGTATTTCTGGCCTCTTGATCGAAAATAATAGGGACAACCTTCAAAATAGCATGCCTGTGCACGGCAACTTTAAGGTGGTGGCGGCAGGTAACAGCAGTCAGTAAGTCCTGGGCTGTCATCAATCAGGTCCTGGTTCTCTTCTCAGGAGGACATAATCGTACTAGGTGTGCATGATGACCCTGGGGACTAGTATTTGAAGAGAACAGCAGGTGCGCTTACAAAGTCCTCAAGAGACCTATTTGTGGGGAGGGGACAACATGGCTGAGCCAGCCCTGAAGGCATGAGTGTGGTAGAGCGGGTTCTACTCTCCTGTCATGTAGCACACGAGAGAAGGAGAGATGCCCCCTTGCCCCTTCCCTCTCACTACCTTCTACAGGTGGGAGTGCTGGCCCTGGTGTCCTGAGACTGTGACACCTGGCCCTGCCCCTCTCTATGTGCAGCATTTGGGAATGTGGGCCCTGCACGTCACCTAGGCAGTACAGTAGAGTTGATCTTCTCAGGCCAGGTGCAGGTGAGCTTGCCCTGAGGTCACAAATGACAGCTGAACACTCCCATC